AGGGCATCATCGATATGGGAGTAGAACTGCTCCTTGATGCTGTCATCTGTGTCGAGGATCGGGAGCATAGGCGCTAATGAGAGTTGCACGTTGGGTTTGGCTGAGGTAGAGGCAGAGGGGCATCAACCTTTTATTGATACCTGTGGGGAGTTCCAAGAGTGCATCAGCAATCTTATTTTTGACTATGAAGCAGACTGCGTGGATCCGAGGTTCACTGTCCAGCTCTCCTTTCCAGAAGGAGGTTTAATACCCTCCTCTCACTTCCCTTAGTTGGCGTTCTCCGGGAAGTTGTGTTTCACTGAGAACAGCTATATCAATGTTGTGCTTCACTAATTCTCTAGATGGCTGTTCTTCATCCAGGACAATAACTATTGATTTTGTCCATGAGTGTTCTTACATGTCAGGTGGCAAAATTTATATTTCTTTTTGTTTCTTTTCATCCATTATTTTTTTAGTTTTTCTTGACCGCAAGAATGGTGATCCCGATGGGTGCGGTTTTCCAGCCATAAAATGTGAGACAGCCTATGTTCAGGGCACATTTTCTTTGGTATCATAAGGACGACTCCTCAACCGGAGATGTTGCTGCTGATAGAGGACACCTCTATCCTGGTGCCGGTGTACAACGACTGTCACACATCTGCCGCCTGCATGCAAAGTCTTGACCGAGGGCTTCCATGCAGGTTCACAGCCCTTGCCCCCTTCATGAATCGTTCATCGCCGCAGGACTTTTCCCTAACTTGATGAAAGCCTGCACAGGTGGGATCCACATGATCTTGACGGGCTAGTGGCTGGGCCCAGTGACATGGGAAGCCGCGACGACTGGAGCAACTTTTCTCCGCCGCAGCCGTCGTCCACCTTCGTAGCCTTTGAGATCCACAGTCTCTGCCTGTTCTGCCACTTCTTGGATTGCTTTAAGTCTGGAACCTCCCCTTTGACCTTGCCGCCATGTGTGACCCTACCAGGAGCACGAGCCTCTAGAACAGACATGGGCAAACAACGGCCCGTTGGGCTTTTTAATCCTACCCGCCGAACTTGTCAAACCCGTATTGGTTGTGACTCGAACCTAATTTCCCCATTGGATTGTATGTAAATACCATTAATCCGTTCCAGACTCCTACGAACTGTATATAAATATTGTTTTTTTAAAGATTATTAAGCACAAAAATAGTTAATTACGCCATAGAATTCAGTGTAATAGTAAATTAAATGTAACAACATTGAATAACACTGAGATAACATTGAATAACAGAGAAAACTAACATTGCCGCATCAAGGTTTAGAATCGTTCAACAAGATGCTACATCAGTCGGTCGATTCTGAGAGAGAGAGAATATTCGTATGAGCAATTCATGTTTCTATTGAAAGTAAGTTAACAGTAATATTTGGGTACAGTATTGTTTTTGGAAGCATTCACCGTAATATCGTATCAACGTTTACTTCACCGCATCATCGTATGAATGATGCGAAAAGAGATTAACGGGTTCTTATGTTAGCGATTTACGTACTCGGCGCTTTTGCTCTCTAAATTACGGCTTGAATGAGGGGGAGGGGTATGACTACACTCACAATATTAATATCTTATTAGGAATTTCATATAACAAAAGTTATATACATAACTGTTACGCTTTGTGTAATTCAACAAAACAAACAACACTTAACTCCGAGTTCTCTCCAAATTTCATGAGTCCGTTCTAGACCCCACAGTTTTTTTTAAAGAGTTTAAAACAGAACACATAATAAAAGTTTAAAAAATCATTAATTATACAAACTTTTCAATAATTTCCTTCTTCACTTCGATTTTAATTTTCTTTAAAACCTTCTTCTCACCAACATTACCACTCATTACCACTTTCTCCGAAGGCAAGTTTGTAAAATAATGCATGGTACAGACAGCAGACATCTTGTGTCCGGAGATCAAAAGCAAAGTTGAAAAAGTCAGCTTATCACGCAGGACTGTGACTCGCCGTGTGGAACTGATTGATAAAAAATATATAGCCAGTCAATTAAACAAAAAGTCTGATTCCTTTGAATTATATTCACTAGCACTGGATGAAAGTACGGACGTAAAAGACACTGCTCAGCTCCTCATTTTTATCCGAGGCATTGACAGTTTTGCGATAACAGAGGAGGTTTTGACCATAGAGTCCCTGAAAGGACCAACGCGGGGAGAGGATTTGTATAACCAGGTATCTGCTGTCATCGAAAGAATGACGCTACCTCGGAGTAAACTTGTCAATGTCACAACAGATGGATCGACAAATTTAACTGGAAAAAAATGTTGGGCTGCTGAAAAGAATCCAGGATAAAGTGAAAAAGGAAAACCCTGTCCAGAATCTTATTTTCCTTCACTGCATCATCCAACAGGAATCCCTGTGTAAGTCTGTATTGCAGCTTAATCGTGTCGTGAATCCAGCCGTAAAACTTGTGAACTTTATACGAGCAAGGGGACTTCAGCACCGTCAGTTTATTACCTTCCTGGAGGAAACTGATGCGGATCATCAGGACTTGCTGTACCACTCTCGTGTCCGCTGGTTAAGTTTGGGGAAAGTGTTACAACAAGTGTGGGAGCTGAAAGAGGACATCATCGCTTTTTTGGAGTTGATGCGGAAATCTGACGAATTCCCTGAGCTAAGCGACAAGAACTGGCTTAATGACTTTGCGTTTGCTGTGGACATATTTTCACACATGAATGAGCTGAATGTGAAACTGCAGGGGAAAGATTAGTTTGTTCACGACATGTACAAACATGTGAAAGCCTTCAAATCCAGCTCACTTTGTTCTCCGGACAAATTGCGAACAAATCTTTAGCTCATTTCCCCACACTTGCCATGCAGGAAGAGGCACCGCGAAACGCAAAAAAAATACAGCAAATCGCTTGAGGACCTGCACGGATAATTCTTCCGTCGGTTCTCTGATTTCGAAAACATTGAACAGTCACTTCAGCTGGTGTCCTGTCCCCTGTCACAAGACCCTGAAACAGCACCACAGGAGCTGCAGTTGGAACTGATAGATCTTCAGTCTGACTCCGTCTTAAAAGAGAAGTTCAACTCTGTTAAACTGAATGACTTTTATGCTTCACTTAACAGTGCCACGTTTCCAAACCTCTGGAGGACTGCACAGAAGATACTGACTTTGTTTGGCTTGACTTATGTGTGTGAGCAGACATTCAGCGTCATGAACGCCAACAAAGCCCGTCACAGATCAAAGTTAACGGATCAGCACCTCAGATCTATCCTGAGAATTGCCACAACCAAAATAACTCCAGACTTGGATGCACTGGCAAAAATGGGAGATCAACAACACTGTTCCCACTGAAACTGATGATGTGTTGCTGCAGCGAGGTTGGAGCCAAATCTCCATCACACAGCCTGCGTGGCTGCTCTAACCTGTTAATATAGATAATAAAGAAGTTCAAGTGAGGTAATTGGTTTGGCGCAGGGCTCAGATGTTTTCATGATGTTTGATCAGTCACGTTACAACATGTTTTTGTACTGTTCATGTTCGTGCAATTTGTTAAATTGCCTTGCAAATAAATGCTTTGCTACCTGTTAAAGGCCAAATCCTTTCATGTAATGATTTTTACATGTCATTTATATTAATTCACACAAACACTCCATCCACCTGTTCCTGGCCCGGCCCCTCTGTCAAATGTTAGAACCCATTGTGGCCCGCGAGTCAAAAAGTTTGCCCACCCCTACTCTAGACGGCTTCGCTCTCAGGATCATTGGAACGCAGACACCTCTCCACCACGATAAGGTGGCGATGCACTGCTAAACTATACACTATAAACTACTATACACTAATATTGATTTGAAGCTTTCGTGACTGCAGGAATCCATACTCTTTGGTTCTTTTGGTAAAGTCACGTAGGTATAAAATAGATCACGTTTCGGGCGCAACACACGAACGCTTGTGTTGTGCCCGAAACGTCGTGATCTATTTTATTTTATACTATACACTACTCCACTAGACTACAATACTATACGCTACACATTTTAAACACTACACTACTGTACACCGCACGCCTATACACACTATTACTATACGCTATACACTGCACTGCACTATACTATACAAGTTCATTTATTAGGTATAGCCCTGTGAGCCATTCGGCTCTTGAATCGGGTGCAACCGCAACAAACAAAAAACACTTAATACACTACGTTATACTGTACTCTGCTATACAGAATACACTACTATACACTACACCACGATGCTAATTTGGAAACTAATTTATTTAGAATCGCTGCTCGTTGTTGCTGTTTAGTTTGTTGTTCTCCCCCGCACCTCCGACACACACACAAAGATCCCCAAAATCGCCTTCTCAGACTGTAGGGGCAAGTGCTGTTAGAAAGCAGCAGCTATGAAGGCCGGCACGGCACACGAGGGGGTGGGTGGCCAGCACCACGCCCGGCCGCCTTTGTCTCCCCAGTGCTAGCGATGTTCACTACACACCACAGCTACACCAGGGACTCATTTGAGGCTGAGTCGACCTAGGGGAGGCCCAGGACCGGTTCAGATATTCGTCACTGGTGCTGGCCGTGAGCGGGTGGTTTATCCAGACACAAAGTGCGCTAACCACTGCACCACCGCTCCCCACTCACACAGTGCGCGAACCACTGCACCACCGCTCCCCACTCACACACAGTGCGCTAACCACTGCACCACTGCTCCCCACTCACACACAGTGCGCTAACCACTGCACCACCGCTCCCCACTCACACACAGTGCGCTAACCACTGCACCACCGCTCTTCACCACCACATTACGATTCCAAGTAATCTATTGCACGCGATCTCTTATTTCGATTCCCTATGTTAATAAAACTATTTAATTCGATTCCGAAATATCGCTGACTTCGATTCTGTATCACCTTCCTTACAGCCAGTGGAGTCACGCACTGGGGAATCGAGGCGGGGTAAAATAATACCGATCCTTAAAATCGGAATCGAAGGAATGCCCGCGGTAAGACTTTCAGTCTCTGTGTCTGTCTGTGTCTTTGTGTGTCTCTCTGTGTCTGTCTGTGTCTCTGTGTCTCTGTGTGTGTCTCTGTGTGTCTTTCTCTGTGTCTGTCTGTGTCTCTGTGTCTGTCTGTGTCTTTGTGTGTGTCTCTCTCTGTGTCTGTTTGTGTCTCTGTGTGTGCGTCTGTGTGTGTCTGTGTGTCTCTCTCTCTGTGTGTCTCTCCCTGTGTGTGTCTTTGTATGTGTCTCTGTGTGTCTCTCTCTGTGTCTGTCTGTCTCTCTGTGTCTTTGTGTGTGTCTCTCTCTGTGTCTCTGTGTGTGTCTCTCACTCTGTGTGTCTCTCCCTGTGTGTGTCTTTGTATGTGTCTCTGTGTGTCTCTCTCTGTGTCTGTCTGTGTCTCTCTGTGTGTCTCTCTGTGTGTGTCTGTCTCTGTGTGTGTGTCTCTCTGTGTCTGTGTCTCTCTGTGTGTCTCTCTTTGTGTCTGTTTGTGTCTCTGTGTGTGTCTCTCTGTCGCTGTTTGTGTCTCTGTGTGTCTCTATGTGTGTGTGTGTCTCTGTCGCTGTCTGTGTCTCTGTGTGTGTCTCTCTCTGTCGCTGTTTGTGTTTCCATATGTTTGTAACGTTGTGTCTCTGTCCGTGTCTTCAGAGAGACAGAGAGACATGGAGGACAGGGGAGACTCGGTGAGACACTGAGACACACAGACAATGGGGAAACACAGAGACACGGAGACACACAGAGACACGATGACACAGACACGGTGACACACACAGAGACACGGTGCCACAGAGACACGGAGACACACACAGAGACACACAAAGACACGGTGACACACAGAGACACGGAGACACACAGAGACACACAAATACACGGTGACACACACAGAGACACAGTGACACACACAGAGACACGGAGACACACACACAGACACTGAGAAAAGACAGAGAGACACGGAGACACACAGACGGTGACACACAGAGACACGGTGACACACACAGAGACACAGTGACACACATAGACACGGAGACACACACAGAGACACGGTGACACAGAGACACGGAGACACGCACAGAGACACAGTGACACGCACAGAGACATGGTGACACGCACAGAGACATGGTGACACGCACAGAGACACAGGGACACACACAGAGACATGTTGACACGCACAGACGGTGACACACAGAGACACACACAGGGACACAGTGACACGCACAGAGACACAGTGACACACACAGAGACACGGTGAAACACAGAGACACGGTGACAGAGAGACACACACAGAGACACGGAGACACACAGAGACACGGAGACACACAGATACACGGTGACACACAGATACACGGTGACACTCACAGAGACACGGTGACACACAGAGACACGGTGACACAGAGACACGGTGACACACACGGAGACACACACAGATACACGGTGACACACACAGACAGAACCGGCCCTAGACCTTTCGGGGCCCTAAGCAAAATTTGGTTGGAGGCGCCTTTGATGTATGATTTTTTTCACCCACTAGCTCGCAGTGACTCTAGGGGGCCCTCTGCTGGCCACGGGGCCCTTTGCAATTGCAAGGGTCGCTTAGTGGTTGGGCCGGCTCTGCACACAGAGACACGGTGACACACACAGAGACAAGGTGACACAGACACGGAGACACAGTGACACACACAGAGACACGGTGACACACACAGAGACACGGTGACACACACAGAGACACGGTGACACACAGAGACACGGTGACACAGAGACACGGTGACACACACACGGAGACACACACAGATACACGGTGACACACACAGACAGAACCGGCCCTAGACCTTTGGGGGCCCTAAGCAAAATTTGGTTGGAGGCCCCTTTGATGTATGATTTTCTTCACCCACGAGCTAGCAGTGACTCTAGGGGGCCCTCTGCTGGCCACGGGGCCCTTTGCAATTGCAAGGGTCGCTTAGTGGCTGGGCCGGCTCTGCACACAGAGACACGGTGACACACACAGAGACAAGGTGACACAGACATGGAGACAAAGTGACACACACAGAGACACGGTGACACAGAGACACGGTGACACAGACACGGTGACACACACAGAGACACGGTGACACAGACACGGAGACACACACAGACACAAACACAGAGACACGGAGACACACACAGAGACATTGAGATTCACACGGAGACAGAGACACAGACACGGAGACATTAAATGTGTATAATGTATAGTAGTTTAGTGTATAGTAGTGCAGTGTATATAATATAGTGTAGAGTAGTGGACTATGTAGTGTAGTGCAGTCCACTAGATTATCCGCGATAATGACGGGGAGGACGGCCGCAGATAATTATTACAAATCACGGACAATCCAAAAATATCAATTTTTTAGGGATCTCTATGCCACAACCCAATATGTTTAAGTCGCACAGTTTTGTATATTAAAACTCAAAGGATAAATAATAAGATAAATCACTCAAAACAAAACGCAACCGACGATATTCAATGTTACTGTTTCGATTTAGAATGAATACTAACGTTGATCGATGTGCGTGCTCAGTGATGACACTTTCCTGCCCCTGAGCACAGGACACTCCGCCCACTCAGTGGATAGCAGAGTCACGCCAATAAAAATCAATCAAAATCCACCCACTGTTGTAAATATATGCAAATACTGTACTGTTTCAGGCGATCAAGTGGATATCAGATTATTCGGAGCAAATATTTGTTCGGTTTAAGCACATTAAACATAAAATTACTGTTTTTAGATGATTAATTTGGGCTTAAGGGTAAATGTATGAGTCGTTAATTTATGTCAAAATCTCAAGTGTGTGACTAATCTGCCAATTGGATAAACCACCTGCAGATTATCTACAGTATACTGTATACACTCTCTTTGGTTATTTTGGTGAAGTCACGTAGAAAGAAAACAAAAGAAATAATAGAATACGACGTTTCGATTGCAACACAAGCAGTCATCATCAGGTAGAACTACATTTTAGAGAGGGACAAAACTCAGACACGGAGACACACAGACAGACACACAAGCAGAGATAGACAACACAGAGACAACAACAACCGCCATTCGCCACTAAGTGGTGGTGACATCACCACAACGCTTGTGCCAGGCCATGTGCACCTTGAGGCCACGTGAAGTGTCCAACGCCCGCTGGCAGGAGGGCATGGGACAGACCCAGGTGCCACGGGTCGACTGACTGAGATGACCGAGATGACTGGCTGATGCACCACCTGTGCCCCCTACTGTGCCAACTTGCTGTGCTTTAGCCACCCGGCGCTCCGCTCGTTGTTGTGAGCGTCGCTCCTCCGCCCTCCGTTGTTGTTGGAGGGCGACTGCCTCCAACTGCCCAGTAGCGTCCTTCACGAGCCTCCTCTACAGAGGCCGATCTTGACACCGCTAGTACCAGTCATTGGCAAGTCCACTCAGCTCCACGTCCTCCTGTACCACATCACTCCATCTCTTCTCGAGCCCGTGCTGTGCCCGTTTAGCCCCCTCGATCCGGCTGAACAAAAGCTGTTTAGGCATGCGGTGGCTGGGCATGCGGGCTACATAACCAAGCCAACGCACCCTTGCCTGCCGGAGGAGCTCACCGATGGGACTTTGCCCAGATCTTTCAAGGATTTGTGAGCTCACACAATCCAGCCTTGTTAAACCCAGGATGGGTCGTAGGCAGGCCAGCCTAAATGTTTCTAACCAGCGAAGATGCTCCATTAGGGGGGTCCATGTTTCGCAAGTGTAGTGACATAAGGGAGGGGCTGCTGGGGGCTCTGGGATCCCAGGCGAGTCCAGACGCTTAAGCCTCTGGGCGCCAGGCGCTGGGTTCCCAGGGGGTCCAGACGCTTAAGCCTCTGGGCGCCAGGCGTTGAGTTCCCAGGGGGACCAGATGCTTAATCCCCTTGGCGCCGCCAAAGGGGGGGGCTGTGTGTGCTCTGGGATATCTGGGGGCGCACACGGCCCCACCCCTCGTTGGACCAGGCATAAAAGGAGAGCTCCCTGGACGATCAGGGCCCAGTTGTAACTCAAGACCCAAGACCCACGACCAGCCATCTGAAGACCCTGGGACGCTGTGAGAGCCAGCGCTGGGACTCTGGAACTCCCGACTCTACGACCTTGTGAGGGCGAGTTCCGGAGCGTAGCCAGAGTAGAGTATCTAGGCTGTGTAGCTAGGCTGTGTACCTAGGCTGTAACAGAGTATCAGGACTGTTGGAGAGTTGGAGGACTGTTGGAGTGTTGTATTGTAATAAAGAAGTTACCTCTACAAGTGTCTCCAGAACCCGTTACATTTGGCGTCAGAAGTGGCTATGGAGACAAGAAGTAAGCCACGTACCTTCAGTCCTGACGGCGATGAAGAGGAGCAGGCAGCGATGGGGCGGCCAACGCCGGCCGACAGCGACGCTGCACCGCCGGCCGACAACAACGCCGCATCGCCGGCTAAGCAGCTGTCTGCTCCGCCGACCGTCCCCTCTCCAGCGTCGGGAGCAGAGATGGAGGAGGCGCTGCTTTGCCTCGCAGAGCTGCTCTGCGCCACCGCCTCCCTCCTGGGCGACATGCGGTGCTCGCGGCCGATGGCGGGAGGGAGAGAGGAGGCGCGGCGCTCGCCCGAGCCCGCCGCCGCCGCCACAAACATGGTGGACGCCGCCGCCATTCCCGCCACCGGCGTCCCCCCCACGGATGTGAGGGATACTTCCGGGAATGACATCACTTCCACCGGAGGAGCAGTGACCGCTGGGAGCGACGTCACTTCCGGGCCCAGCGTGGGCCAACCCGGAGATGCTGCGTCATCAGCGCTGCGTCCCTCACCGCCGGGTGACAGCTGTTTGCAACCTAGCAACGCCGCGTCATCAGCGCTGCGACCTTCACTGCCGGACGACAGCTGGCTTCAACCTAGCATACCGCGTCATCAGCGCTGCGACCGGACAGTGAGGGCGCCATTCTTACTCTAACCAGCGCCAGGGCCGGCACATGGACCAACCCGCTGGTCGCCGCCTTTGCTGCTCTGGCCAAAGGTTGGAGGTCGGGAGACCAGGCCCCTGACACTTCGTACATTTTATGCCCTCCGGATTAATGATTTTTTTGTTGATATTTTCTTCATTGTCATCGGGGAGTCGTGACTGTTGTTGAGTAAACTGTGTGGAGCTTCGCTCGTGAGTGTTGTCAATGTGTGTGCGAAACTTTGCTTGTAATTGTTAACAATGTATGGTTTGTATTGAGCTTTGTTCGTGATTGTTAATGTATAGCTTGTGCTGTCATTGTTAACGATGTATATACTGTATGGGGCATTTATCTTGAGATGGTGACATGCTGCCAAGGATTTGGAATTGTCATGCTGGCTCTCAAATATCTTGGGGTGCAGATCCTGACCAGGATGGCCCAGCGGGTGTTGCGTGTCTAACACGAGAGTTGTGGTCCCGTCATGCTATGGCTGACGGCTTGACCTGACAGCCCGGAGATAGAGACACTCCGTGGCATGTCTAGCCTAGTGGGCTGTGTGCTCACATGGCTCGGAGAGTGTGGTCCCGTCATGTGATGGCTGACGGCTTGACCTGACAGCCCGGAGATTGAAACACTCCGTGGCATGTCTAGCCTAGTGGGTTGTGCGCTCACAGGGCTCGGAGAGTGTGGTCCCGTCATGGAATAGCGGACGGCTTGACCTGACGGCCCGGAGGTTGAGA